TATTTGTTTTCCTGATCCACATTTGAGTTTTTTCTAATTTCTCCCATTACATGTAACACTGCTGTGAACATTCTTTACAAACCTTTTTGGTCTCAATAAAAGTTCTTGCCAGGGAAGTAACTTTCAGTGTGGTTCTTGAACCCCTAAAGCAATCCCCAAAACCCTCTTAGGAGCTTCATGTGGCCAAAGTACTTGCATGAGAACACGTAAGATCCTATATGCCTCTTTCTTTTGTGTGTGTGTGTGTGTGTGTGTATATGTTTGGGGTTTTTTGTTTTGTTTTGTTTATATATGCGTCTTTCATACTGGCATACACTGATAGTGCAAAAACAATATTGGGTAATACTGCTGGTGACTTAGCCAAGTTAACACTCTTATTAAGGAGGCAAAAGGATATTAAGATGCACTAGGAAGGACAAAGTATCATTTCTATTATATTCTTGCTCAAAATACACAATCTGAATTTAGTCATGAAGAAACATCCCACAGACCCAATCTGAGAAACAGTCTACACCATTAATGGGTGGTGTCTAGGTCATAAAAGACAAAGACAAAGGAAGTGGCCCAGATTGGAGGAAACTACTAAATACAATGTATGATCACAGACCACAGAAAAGACATTAGTGAGACAACAGATAAAATTGAATAGGGTTAACAGATTACTCAGTACCGTTGTACAAGCGCTAATTTTTAGGTTTAAAAAATTACAGTAAGAACACTTCTGAAATAAAGAAGTAGAAATGGCAAATAAATACATGAAAAAATGTTCAACATCACTGGTCATTCAAGAGACCCAAATTAAAACAACGCTAAGATTCCATCTCACTCTGGAAAGAAGGGCTGCCATCAAGAAATCAACCTAGGGCCGGGGATTTAGCTCAGTGGTTCTGCCGCCTGCCTCACAAGCACAAGGTCCTAACACAGAACAATCCTCAAGAGGAATTACTAAGTGGAAAGGTACAGAAGTGCAGAAGACTGAACATGGTTTATCACCATTTCCTTTTTTTTTTAGGTACAGGGGCTCAAACTCGGGTTCTTGCAGTTTCGAGGCAGACAGCAGAACCACTGAGCTAAATCCCCGGCAATCAACATTTGTGCTTAAAAAGTGGAAAGCCAGGCATAGTGGGACATGCCTATAACGTGAACATTCTGGGAGGTGAGGCAGGAGGAACATAAGTTCAAGCCTGAGCTGCTTAGAGACTTAGCAAGACCTTGTGTCAAAATAAAAAATAAGAAAGGGCTGAGGAGGTAGCTCACTTTGAAGGACTGGATTCAAAATCCTCTATACCAGAAGTGGGGAGCAAACAGATTTGTTTCTAGTATGTTTACATTTATGCTTGCAATAATAATACACAAGAAACTGGCAACAATGCTAATCCCTTTTGTGCTTTCAAGTCATACACATACATCCCTTTTCATGTTTAAAAAGCCAACTACCGGCCGGGGATTTAGCTCAGTGGTTCTGCCGCCTGCCTCAAAAGCGCAAGGTCCCGAGTTCGATCCCCGGTAGCAAAAAAAAAAATTAAAAAGCTAACTAAGAAACAGTTTTCTAAATCCCCTGCTCATAAGCTGATTTCGCTCAGGCTCGTTTCCTCTTCATTGCTGCTAGCAGTAACTCTGACCGCACCCCCCACACACACACTTCCAGACTTGTTAGGCTTCCTCAGGCTCCCTCGCGCTGCCTGACAAGGAGCGCAGGTAGCTCAGAAATTCTAAAAAGTATCCAATTTTAAACCTGAATTATTTTCCACTGGATACAATTTTCAAGGATAAATCCATGTGAAAATGAGTTAGATTAAAATAAATCAGATGCTTATTTTGAGACCGAGTCTTCAGTTTACCATATAAAAAACTCCAGAGTCACTAACAAACAGACCCCGATAATGCAGAGAATTAAGGATAACTCCAAGGGTGAATGGGTCGGAACCTCACAGCACCTTATTCACAGGAGCTGCTAACAAAAAAGAACATCCGGTGTCTCCTACGCCTGTCTTCTGCTTGAAAAAAGTACTTAATGTACGGGGTAGCTCAAACGATCAGACTACTTGTCCCTCTACTGACACAAAAGATTTTATATTTAGATGAAAAGTCACTTCAGAATCCCAAAAAAGCATTCAGAGACTGAACTTCATTCAAGTCATTCAGTGTCACAGGAGCTGGGGGGGAGGGTTGTTTCAACACAACCGGGGCCCCCACGCCCCTCTGCACCATGTGGCCAGGCAAGCTGGGCTCAGGTCAGTCAGTCAGCGCTCGGCGACTGATTAATGTCGTGGCTTATTAGGCCCCTCGGACCCCTTCCCCGGAGGAGGAGGAGCGGAATTATGTCTGTTGCACGCCGGGGCTTTGTGTCCGACAGCCTGAAAGCACGCCGGTGATGGAGCGTCCGTCATTTCCCCTGGGGTAGGGGGTCTTTCCTCCAAGTTTTTGTTTGCCCGCTACTGCACCTAAGACGCCCCGCCACCCTGCCCCTCGCCGCCCCGTAGCCTTACCAGTGGGCGCGCTGTCCAGGATGCGCAGGTCGTAGGCCCCGGAGCAGCGGTAGTTGGCGGCGGTGCCGTTGTCCCACACCACCACCACCTCCTCGGGGCTCTCGAAGCTCCGCACGGTGCCCACATGGCCCTCGCCGCCGTCCTGCTTCCCCCACTTCCAGTCCGGGCCGCGCACTACCCGGGCCCCGACCCCTTCCACCATCACCCGGTTGTTGCGGGAGTTACTCATCGGGGCCCGGGCGGGGGGCTCCGCCGCCGCCGCTGCCGCCGCCG